GCTGTTCTTCGTTCAGTTATCATTGCTATTGCTAATAATTTAGTTTAGTACGTCTATTGCGTTACGTAAATCGTATGTAATGATCGTGATTGCATGTAATATTGCCAACATAAGTATACCTATTGACATTTTGTATATTTAAAATTTTGATTGTTTTAGTTTTAAAATATAATATAATGTGTCACACAGTGTGTTTATGAAAAATTAAAATCAATTTACGACAGCAAGATAAAAATAGGTCAGGAAGACTACGATAAGCACTAAATGAAATCAATGATGCGAAGTGAATCAGGTAAAACTAAAACTCAAAACCAATATTATTTATGTCCGTAAATATGATCTGATTGAAATAAGATTGTTAAACATAATGCAAACCAAAACCGAAAATATTATTTATGTTGTACCATATAGAAACTATTTGAAAAATCGAAGAGAAAGTCATAAAGCGACTGGTCATGGTGGAAGGGATAAGAGTTGAGCAGAGTTTAAAATAATGTATTCCTCGAATAGCAATCAAATATTTATAAATTTGTGTACAACTTGTAACAAAAATCAAAACCTTATAAGGCATCATTATAAAATATTTTCGGCAGATTTTAATTCAAGAGGGCAAATTAGTCTTATTGTTCAATCAACACCGATGGAAATTTTAAATGGTTATAATTTATCAGGATCTCGCAGCAAATGTTTATATCTTCGACACTTACTTCAAAACGAGCCACCGAAGTTGCACACGAACTTTAAAATTTTTGGAACAGGCACCTCAAATACTTGAGTCTGATAATGGGCGAGAATCTTAGCAATAATTGAAGATGTAGAATTGTGCCTGAATGCAAAAATAATGGGCGGCCGCGGCATCCTCCGGTCGGGGATCTGTAAAAGTCAAATCAAGATGTTGAAACATGTTACGAACTGGGTGTGAACAGTAAATCGCAAGATGGTCAATCGGTTTATTTTGTACAATGGCAAAACATTTCACATCATCAATTTTGGTTTCGACTATATCAGCCTTGTTTGGCACGACCGAGGTGGGTCTTAGTTCTACAACTTACCCCGAAAAGTATTCAATTATCCAAGTGAAGATTTTGAATACTTTTACAAGACTATTCGGAACATAATTTTGACAATATACCTTCAAGAAAAATGATGTGACAAAAATAATATCTGCAGTGTTTGTGAAAATCAGGTGTGAACTCAGATGTACTATATGTAAAGAAATATTCATTCTGATAATTCGGCTATTCTATAAACATAGTAACGATATTGAAAATGTTGTCTGTGTAATAATGAAAAACAGATAAAAGTTAACCGCATTGAATCTTACAAACGATAAACTATAGCAGCTAAAAATGGCGAAAATGAGTGAAAACTATTTAAAGAACTAGAGGTTGGGATCAAAATAGTGATTAAGTGTTCAAATAGACCGAGGACCTCTCGATAGTCAAAATATAAATGGGTTAGTATGACATTCGAACGGCGTTTACCAAATTGGCACAGAGTTGTTATAATAAAAATTGGTTCGAGAAGAACTTCAACTAGTGTCAAATAATGGTTTAGAAGACAACAAAATACAAAGACAAATTCATGTCCATACGTTGAAGCAGTAGCAAACTTATCAATTTTCAACGGTCAAGGTTTTGTTAAATGTCCAATGCCAATCAGGAAAGCTGTGGCAATGTCATCAAACAATAGGTGCTTGTGTTTAGAAAATCTTAAATGTTCCAGCAAATGCCACAATTACAATGTGACAACAAGTATAGGTAACAAAAGCTTGTAATTATAATATAACTTTTATTTATTTTATTATTTCATTTTAAAACAATAGTTATAGTTGACACAATGACACAAAATTAAACATGTATTACATATACAGTTATCTATACGTGTTTTCATATTAATAAATAATACACGCTTTTTATATATAAAATAGCAATAAATAATAACTGATAGAATAATATTTAAATTTTAAATAATACAAAATGATTTTATTATTTGCCTGGCATGAAATAGGCATTAGTTAAATGTCTAGTCATTTAATTAAATGACTAGGCATTTGACTAAATGTCTAGGCGGATGAAATTGCATAAACATTAAATTCTTTGACTATATGCCTAGGCATTTAATAAATGCCTGATTTGACTATATGCCTACGACATATATGCTATTGTGTCAATTTTCCGAATGACTCTTTTCAAACAATAAAAATACCTTTTCCAATCACCCGTGTCTTTTAATCTTTCCCTTATCTTTCACACCCAACAATTCTACGAACCCCAGGTGTCGACATTTTGGTCCTTCGAGCCGGATCACTTAGAAAGAAAACCGCAGCCAATACAGTCCACTAAAACAAGACGTACTGTCGTTACCTCCATTACTCGTTCCCCGAGTAATATATTCTTCCTTTCAACAATAACGACAGTACCACTTGTGTAGCGATGGCACCACCAACCTCTATGGCCTACGTCGAAGTCAAGGCACGAATAAATCGCATCACCAAACGGATGACCACCTTCCTGCAAGCTTCAGCCGAATATAACCAAGACCGTTCCAGTGTAGGCAAACGCGCAAAGCTTTCCCAGATGTTTTCGGAACTAAGTACTCTTCGCGAAAACGTGGAGAACGATATTCAACTCATGGAAGCAGCTGTAGCCAACAAAACAGCTCCCATAGACGTCACAGATCACACAGGTACGGAGACACTCAGTGCTTTATTCGATACGTTATATTACGATCTCGCGGCCTTCGCCGAAGTGCATCAGATATCGATATCAAAAACTAATATGCAAAATGAATCTAACATGATAAATAAATCATGCTTCGGGAACATATCGGCATTTCAAATGCCCAAAAGAAAGTTTCCAACTTTTTCCGGTGCTATAACGGAGTGGCAAATTTTCGATGATTTATTCAACTCCATATTATCACATGCTCCTGACTTAACAGACGTTGAACGGTTTGAATACTTGAAAACTGCACTCCAAGGCGAACCACTGTCATTGATCGCTCATCTTTCGTTAACAACCGACAACTATGCAAGTGCGTGGGATATATTACGTGCTAGATATGGTAACAAACGAGACCTCGCTCGTATCCACCTCGACGCATTATTAACATCGCACCCGGTAAAGATTGACGACGCCACTTCAATCAAAACCCTCATTAACGTTATTCTCGAACACACATCAGCACTGAACAACTTAAGTTTTGTTACCCGGCAATGGAGTCCAATCCTGGTACACATTTTTAAAAAACAAATGGATTACGAGCTTCGTTCCCGTTGGGAGTTACACGTCGGAGATACTGTATCACCAACTCTAAACGAATTTATTGACTTTCTCCGAAATCACATCAGGTCAGCTGGAATCCGTGCAGAAAGTAGTTCAACATCAAAAACTAGACACGGAAAACCAGAGACAAAAAAATCCAATACACATGCCTCTACTACTCCACGAGTCTTTACTACGGTAATAAGTCCTGAACCATGTCCAGTTTGCAAGGAAACACACAAAATCAAACAATGTCCAACGTTCATCGCTAAAACGTCTAGCGAACGGTATCAAATGGTGAAAGAACATCGTCTATGTCTTAACTGTTTATTATCGAATCACAGTACAGCGTTTTGCAAATCAAAATTCACCTGCCGTACGTGCGGTTAGAAACATCATTCGATGCTTCATTTCACCAAACCGGCACCGACTAGCACTTCAACCATAAGTACTCCAGTATCAACAAGTAATCTGGAACCAACGATAACCACGTGCCTAGTATCCCGTCCACAACGTCATTCCGTGCTGTTAGCGACAATGTTACTAAAAGCAAAGTCATCAAATGGATCTTCTCATACTTTGCGCGCACTCGTCGACACCGGGTCAGAAGCCAGTTTTGTCACCGCACGCTGCGCTGATAAATTATCACTCCAACGTCGACGGTGTACGTCACAAGTACGTCCTTTCGCTGGATCAACAATTAATATTGTTTCCGGAATTGTTACGATCACTCTATCTGCCGTGTCCACAAGTGTACCAACTGTGACCGTCAACACCATGGTCGTTCCGAAAATCGTAGATCAACTTCCACATCTCCGTTTGTCGTCAGACACATGGCAACACTTAACGGACCTACCATTAGCTGATCCAACGTACAACACACCTGGTCCAATCGATGTCTTACTTGGTGCAGACATCGTACCATCCATCATGACGGGCCACCGAGTGACCGGTAAAATCACTCAACCCAGTGCGTTTAATACCATATTTGGTTGGATAGTCATGGGACCAGCTGATCAACTACCAGCACCCGCCGTGACGACATTGACTGTTCAATCTAATACTGAGTTGGAATCCGCACTAACCCGCTTTTGGAAACTCGAGGAACCATCACTACCATTGTCAACAATTGATGACACTGACCCAGCAGAACAGATTTTTACAAAGTCCATCACCCGAACTCCATCTGGGCAGTTCTGCATTGGGTTACCATTTAAAACACCTAATCCAATTATTGGTGACTCAAAAGGTCAAGCGCTTCATCGTCTCCGACACCTCGAAGTGAGATTAGCCAGAGACAACAATTTACGAACAAAATACGTCGACTTTATGCAAGACTATTTGGACAGCAATCACATGGAGCTCGTTCCCATTCAGCAACGCTCCACGCCACACCACTATTACCTTCCACATCATTGCATACTACGTCCTGATAGTTAAACCACTAAGCTACGTGTAGTGTTCGACGCATCAGCAAAAAGTTCTGCTGGCATCTCTCTGAACGATTGCTTGCACACAGGTCAAAAACTTCAAGCAGACCTATCTCATATTCTGATGCGATCACGTTTACACAAAATCTTGTTTACTGCAGATATTAAGCAAATGTATCGTCAGATCCTCATTAGCGATGCAGACCGAGATTACCTACGCATTTTATGGCGTTTCAATCAAGAAAATAGTATTGAAGAGTATCGTCTGCGTACTGTCACATACGGAACGTCATCGGCTCCATTTCAAACGATCCGAACATTACAACATCTGGCCACAGTTTGCAAATCCACACATCCCATTGCATCACAAGTTATACACTCCGACACCTTTGTCGATGATATTCTTACTGGTGCAGAATCTATACAATCAGCTCTAAACATCCAAGATCAATTAACAAAATTACTCTCAAGTGGTCATTTCATACTCCGAAAATGGGCCAGCAAAGCTCCTGAGGTAGTCAATGCTGTTCCAGAAGAAGCACGTTCCACGTTATCTTCAGTTAGCTTTGATGACGAGTCTGAAACAGGACTGAAAGTGCTCGGCTTACATTGGGATCTAAGACATGACCACTTCCGTCACACAATCCGATGTTTAGATGTCAAGCCTACGAAGCGAAATGTGCTGTCTGAAATAGCACGCATTTTCGATCCACTTGGTCTTTTATCTCCTGTCACATTTCTCACCAAACACTTGATGCAGGTACTGTGGATAGCAGGAATTGGTTGGGATGATGTCATTCCAAGCAATGCTCATAACATATGGCAACAGTATCGTGACCAGTTACCATGCCTCCAAGAACTCCGTATACCCAGACGCATCACGACTGACACCAACGATTCAGTTGAACTGCACGCCTTCTTCGACAGTTCGGAAAAAGGGTACGCAGCTGCCATATATCTACGCACAAAATCATCTACCGGTGTCGTATGTCACTTAGTCACAGCCAAATCCAAGGTGGCCCCACTCAAACGCGTCACCATTCCACGCCTTGAACTGTGCGGCGCACTACTCGCGGCAAAACTGCTGAAATCCGTTATTGATGTGTTGTCTCCGGTCATTGACATTACATGCATACATGCCTGGACAGACTCAATGACTACATTAGCATGGATAAAGTCATCCCCACACCGTTGGACAACATTTGTCGCCAATCGAGTCAGTCAATTACAGGATCTCACAACACCTTCCATATGGCGGTATGTCTCGACTAAGGTTAATCCAGTCGACTGTGCGTCGAGAGGTCTCTTTCCATCTGAACTTCTTAACCATCCACAATGGTGGGGAGGACCTGAGTTCCTATATGATGAACACACCAGCTGGCCCAAAACTCATTCCATACCTGACGAGAACACAAGCCAACCAGAGTCCCGACTCACGGTCGCATTAACAGCAACAAAAACAGACGACATTTTCGACCGTCTGTTCGATCGGTATTCATCATTAACCAAAATCGTGAGAATAATTGGATACTGTTTTAGATTTAAGCAAAACTATCAAGCAACAATAACTTTAAACCCTACGGAACAACATAAGGCTCTAGATGCCATCATCAAAGCAGTCCAGTGGTCCGCATTTAACGACGACATACGCCTACTGACAGCAAATAAGCCATGTAGCACTCACCTACGGAGACTAAGCCCATTTCTGGATGCATCTGGTATTCTTTGAGTTGGTGGACGAATTCTACATGCATCAATCCCATATGAACAAAAACATCCTGCCTTGTTTCCAAAGAGGCATCCATTTACGTCACTACTGATTCACCACTACCACAAGGAAAACTGTCATCCAGGCCCAACCACATTGCAACAACTCATTCAACAACGGTTCTGGATAATTTCAGCACGTCAAGTTATTAGGTCCCATCTTCGTTTATGCATTCCATGCTATCGTGTGCGTCCAAAACACATCCAACCGACAATGGGAAACCTCCCAGTTTGTCGTTTACAGCAGATTAAGCCATTCCACGCAACTGGAGTAGACTATGCAGGCCCTATACCCTTAAAGGAAAGAAGAACACGGAACGCACAGGTCAGTCATGCTTATATCTGTCTGTTTGTGTGCATGAGTACGAAAGCACTTCATCTCGAAGTCGCGTCCACTTTATCGACCGAAACCTTCCTTATGGCATTCACCCGTTTCGCTGCCCGCCGAGGACCAATCCAGGCAATCTATAGTGATTGTGGTACCAACTTTGTGGGAGCATCTCGACTGTTCAAATCAGTTTCTGAGTACCAAAACGCTATAACCAATCATCTCTCTACACAGCAGATTCAATGGCACTTCAATCCACCATCAGCCCCTCACTTCGGAGGTTTATGGGAAGCAGGTGTCAAGTCCGTAAAACAATTATTGTACCGATCCATAGGTAACCACCAACTGACCAGCGAAGAACTAAGTACCTGTCTAACGCTCATCGAAGCAACTCTAAATTCCAGACCGTTGAGTGCGATGAGCAACGATCCCGCTGATTTCCACGCACTAACGCCAAACCATTTCCTGACCCTCGAACCCAGCACGACTATTCCAGATCCAGATTTGTCAACCCTTCCAATATCTAAGATGCAGCGATGGCGGCTCCTCCGAGATATTCACCAACATTTCTGGAGTCAGTGGAAAAGTGACTTTATCAATACTTTGCAACAACGGCGGAAATGGACAAAGGACAATGGAGCTTTGCGTCAAGATGATCTAGTTCTCATTAAGGAACCAACCAGCTCACTTCAATGGAGACTGGGCCGCATTGTTCAACTTCACCCAGGTAATGACGGAATCAACCGTGTTGCCACCGTCAAAACAACCTCGGGAACTTTCAAACGTCCTGCCATCAAACTCTGTCCACTTCCACAGAATTAAAGGCGGAAGCCTTTAAGGTGGGCAGTATGTTTCCACGAATATATATATATATATACACTCTAAAATTATTCCTATCCATATGTATATTATCATTATCTGTACAAATATTTATCAACCTCATTAAAATTTTAATGTCCTCTTATTTTATCCAGCTTGTACATCGTTCGACCGGTCAACGCCTGCTTTATCCATCGCCTGGCAGTACGCCGTTGTCACCTCGCGATGAGTATAAAGCACCGGTCGAACCGATAACATTCACTTTCGGCGCCGGCAAGACTACCCAGACAGACTTGCACGGTCGAGGTGTGTTCTCCGGACTCAACGTGCGGTATATATCCAATCCATGGTGCAATAGTCAGAGTTATTCCGGCATTGTACCCGATTGATATATAAAGACCTTCATAGTACAATAGTCGGAGTAATTCTGGCATTGTATTGTCTTATACCACACGTTCGAGTCCCATTCAATTTCACCTCGTGTTTTATATAATCTACTCATGTGTCAATTTTCCGAATAAAACAGTAAATATTTCTTTCAATCTTTCCCTTATCTTTCACACCCAACAATTCTACGAACCCCAGGTGTCGACAGTTTCGCTTTGTTTTTTGTATTTAAATACTATATTATTATTATCAAGGTTTACTATAGCTTTTAATTTTGTTAATATATCCATTCCTAATGATATTGGTGAGCAAATACCTTCCACAATTATTATGCATTCGTGTTTAATTTCTATCGTTCCAATTTTTATTTCTACCAATGACTTTCCAATTATGTTTAAACTCGTATTATTCGCGGCTTCTAGACTGATATCTGTTTTTAACGGTAAAATTTCTTTTAAATAAGTATTATTGTGATTTATAACAGTAATACTTGCTCCAGTATCAACTAAAAAATTAATTTCATGATTATTTATTTTCCCTGGTATTTCAATTTTATAAAGATTACTATGATTTTTGTCATTTGTACAGTTTATTATGTTTGTATTTGTTAAGTCATTTATGTTGTTATTTTTTACCGTAACTTATTCTGATGGTACACTAGGGTTTTTATCAATTTTGGAAACACACCTAGTTAAGTGTTTCATTTGAAGTTTTTTGATACAGTACACGACGAACGCATGTGACCCGGTAATCCACAACCGAAACAAACTATATCTGTTTTTGGCGGATTTTCATTATAATTTTTATTTTGAATATTGGGTTGTAATTTTTGGTTATTATTTTGCATACACATATTATTAGAATTATTATCGTTATTATACATGGTGTGATCTATATTATTTGTTTCAGGATAGACTTTGTTATAGCTAAAGTTATGAACATTATTAGGTCTATTATAATTATTATTATAACCATTAAAATTAGAGCGATAATTATAATTCATGTTATTATGATTATTATTATTTTTATTATTAAATTTTTGGGCATTATAATTATTATTATATTGTTGATGAAAGAATGGAGGCTTATAGTTATTAAACCTAGGTCCACTGTAGTTACCGTTACTGTTGCCTTGTCTATAACCATAATTATTATAGTTATCGTTATTATATTGCATGAAGTTATTATTAAAATTTGAATTAAAAGTATCGTTTTCTAATTTAACTTTTTCTTCTAACTCACGAGCTCTTGATTTCGTATATTCTAACTGTTTCAAATTATTTTCTAATTCTATCAAACTGTTATTTTTTAACATACCTATAACATTATAGTATTCAGGTGATAAAGCGTCTAAAATTAAATCAATTTTTTCCCATTCAGGCATCATTCTGTTTGTTTCATTTATTAAAAAAATCATATCTATCCAAAATTCCCCAATAGATTCACCAGCTTTTAATTTTCTGTTTCTTAGTTTATTTCTTAACATTTTTGATCTCGAGTACGACGCGAAATTTTCTTTAAATTTAAGCATTATTTTTTCAAAAGACAATTTAGTTTCGGAATCAAGAATTTTAAATAGCTTATATGCCGATCCCTTTAAATAAAGTGGTAAATATACTAATTTCATCTCGTTATCCCATCCGTTTGCCTTTGCCATTAATTCGAAATTTTCAAAAAATTCTAGTACACATTCGTCTTGTGTACCATTAAATATACCGGGTGAAAAATGATGATTACCCGCCATTTTAAAATTAATATTCGTTTTACTATAATTATCCTTCAAATAAAAGTTATTTTCTGTTTTATAAAATAACTTATTTTGAACTACTGTACTTTTGTTATCTACAATATCAGTTTCGTTATTATTTAATTGAAATGTATTAAGGTCTACTAAAATATTGCTTAATAATATAATAGCTTCAATACTATCATATAGACATATTAAATTAAAATCTTAAATTTTTTGTAACACGCAATATTTTCTCAAAAAAA